ATGGGTGGGGAGGACATGGGGGAGAGGAGACGGGCTCCCCCCTTAAGGACAGATGGAGAAAGCGGCAGCCAACACATGCTGATGGACAGGTGCCTGCCTCGCCTTGCACCTGCATGGATGTTGTATCAGTGGGAGAGGTGGACACGTGTTGGACTACGGTGCTCGACAGATGTGCCGGTGTGAGGATGCCCGCTTGCTCCGGCCATCCTCCCTCCTCTCCCTCCCCTCCCGTGTTTCCTGAGTTGCATCACCCTTTCCTGTCGGCAGCATGAAAGCAGCTACGGAATGATAATATTTAGACTTTGGCATCCTCGTGACCCCACATGAGGGGCAACAGTGGCGAGAGGCACACCGTGATTCATACTCAGGGCCCAGAGAACGTGGGGGGGGAGGGTTTGGGGGCTGAGCAAAAACCAAGGGGAAGGGCATCCACCTCTGGATGTGTGTATATATATCGCCCTGCCTGCTGCTTGGGAGCAAACCTGGAGTGAGACAAGAAGGCAACAGGCTATAAAGAGGGAAAGGTCTCCTCCTCCTCCTCCTGCTTTGCTCTGAGCATTCCCATTAATTTCATCTTTGGCCTTTCTTTCCTCAGACACCCAAGACTCTTGAATTGAAGAGTTGTCCTTGGATTGGGTTCCTCTTGGACTCAGGACGCCTGGGTTGCTCTTGGTGATTGGCGGGCAAGAGAGAGCAGTGAGTCCTCGTAGGCTGGAGCTGGTGGGGCGGGTGTTTCTAACAAGTCGCCAGCCCGAGGCTGAGAAGCCGAGGTCACAGGGTCCCCCTTTTGCCAATTCTATCATCTCGCCATCTTACGGTCCTTCAGCTGGGCCTCCACGAGCCATGCTGGCCATTCCCACTTCTCTCCAAAGTATGTGGTGCCTCCTTTTCCTTAGCCTGATTTTCTGGGCTGCCTTGGCCCCCACGGCCTCCGCCTTCCCCCTGCCCAATTCCAGCCCCCTTTATCAGTTCGACGGACAGGTCCGCCTTCGCCACCTCTACACGGCGGATGAGCAAACGCATCTCTTTCTGGAGATCTTGCTGGACGGCAGAGTACGCGGCTCCAAAAACCAGAACCCTTTCAGTGAGTATTCGGAAAGGGAAAGGATTTGAGCTGGAGGCTGTGGGGAGCAGGGTGCAGGACTCCTGGGTTCCTTGGAAGGGGACTGGATATTGGCAAAGAGAATGCAGACGCCCACGGATTTGTTCCCATTCCCAGTTTAACAGAAGGTAGACACTTGGGTTCTTGAGAAAAAGAATGAGATCTCGCGGGTTACGAGGTGAACCTGAGAGCCAAGATCCCTGAGTTCAGTGGGTAGTTTGGGGGAACCAGAAATTCCAGGCATTCTGAAAGGAGAATAGGGTATCTTCGACAAGATCCTGAGACAGGGGAAGAGAAGGTTTGGATGCAGCTTCTGAGCAGGACATTCTGGAGAGCAAATAAGGGTAAATGGAGTCAATGAGGAGACTGGGGTGAAGGATTCCAGCAAGAGAGTATCTGCTAAGAGCAGTACGTGCAGTTGTGGGAAGACCTTGTTTGCTCTGCTGGACAAGAGTTGGTTTGTAAGGACAGTGTGGACGTGGTTCAGAATGTGGGTGCAGCAAGTGAGAGCCAACACAGGAACGAGCTGAGCAAGCATTTGTGTGTGTGAACTCTTGGGTGCTTTGAAACAGAAATACGTTCTAAAGGGTCACCAGGGTTCCTAGGTGCTGCTGAACTGCCAAATACAGGAATCAGAACTCCTGGGTTCTCGAAAAGGGGGGAATGGGAATTCAGTGGCCTGGACAGAATAGTTGGCTTTAGCTGGTGGATCAGACACACATCCCCATGTTGTCTGTGACAACAGTGCCTCTCATTGTCACTTTCCTTGGCTTTTTGGTCTCAGTTTTTGCAAAAGGAGAAAATAGATGGGAGACTGGATTTAACATAGAACTGGTAGTGATTTAGGGAATTTTTTTTGGCATTTTCAGTTGACAAGTGGGGACAAAAGGATCCCACTCCTGCTCTTCTGTTTCCTCCTCCCGATTCTACTTTCCTCACCCCTGTTTCTCTGATGTCCCCCCCCCCCCACAGGTCTGTTGGAGATCAAAGCTGTAAAACCAGGAGTGATCCGCATGCAGGGCGCAAAAACCTCTCGTTTCCTCTGCATGACCTCCAGTGGACATCTCTATGGTTCGGTAAGTCTGACCTCTCAAGTGATGGGGGGGGGGCGGATAGGCGGTCTGGGACACAAATGTGCTCATCATACCAAAAGAAAAGTGATATGTGAAGTGAAGTAACCCATATTCTCGTCACTCAGATAAAAACAGTGTCTTCCTCAGCACAAGGCATTGGGGAGTTCTTGGTCCCAATTGGAGCCCACTTAGGGGTGCCAACTCTGGGCTGGGGAAATTTCCTGGAGATTTGGGGGATGGAGCCTGGGGAGGGCAGGCTTTGGGGAGGGGAGGGACCTCAGCAGGGCATAATGCCAGAGAGACCACCTTCCAAAGTGTCAATTTTCTCCAGGTGAACTGATCTCTGTCACCTGGAGATCAGTAGTAATCCCAGTAAATCCCCAGCCACCACCTGGATGTTGGCAACCCTAAGCCCAGTGGATTAGGTGACACGTTCAGGAGAATGAATGCCTGGATCCTGTTACAGGAGAAGGCAGTCTAGTGAGCAATGGGAGCAGGTCTGGGTTGGAAAATAGCTGGAGACTTTGGGGGTGGAGCCAGGAGAGGGCGGGG